AAAAAAAAAAAAAAAAAAAAAAAAAAAAAAAAAAAAAAAAAAAAAAAAAAAAAAAAAAAAAAAAAAAAAATAAAAAATAAATTCAAAAAAATTTTTTTAATTCAATATTGAAAGCAGAATTAAAGATGCATAAAAAAAATTTTAGAATTTTAGAATTTTATAAAGCATAAAAATTGCAACATGAGAGAGGAGAAATTATTATACAATTTATTTTTGATACTGTATATCAAGTTAAAAATGATATTCAAATTTTTTTTACTAATTCGAATAACAATTCGAAAAAAAAAAAAAACTCCCGTGAAAAATGATTCGAAACGAAAGAATATACAGAAACGAAATTTTAATCACGTGACGAAAAGAATGAAAGAAGAGATATTACATTTTTTTTTTACATTTAAACGCGAGTAACAACAAAAAAAGAAAAAAATTCTCTATGCTTATCAAGGAAAAATGGGCACGTGAAACATGAACATGACAGATCTATAAAATGTTTTACGATGAGGATTAAATTTCGCTCAGCATTTTTTATATGCTTTATTTCTGATATTTTTAGCTTTTTTTTTCGACTTTAAAAAACCAGACAAATTTTTAACACTTCTTTTACACTTTCATAACCCACTTAAATTTAAAAATATTGTTTTCGAGTAAATTTCTATACCAAGTACCTACTTTTAGTCTATATACCTTTTTGAAATTACGGTTTTTAGATCTCAAAAACGAGACAAATAAAAATTTCTTTTTGCTTTTAAAATCTCTCAAGGGTTCCTAGATATTTATTTTAACAAAAAAAACCGACTTTTTAAGGTTTGGTTATCTATAACACTTGAATTAGTATATTTAACTTCGTTACTAGTAACATACATACTTTGAAGATGGTTGATTGGTTAGATGAGAATTTCTCGGATCAGTCCGACTCTTCTGACGAAGAGTTTGTTTTGCAAGAAGATGCCGTAAAAGATACTAGTGATAGCTCGGAAGAAGAAAGCGGCAGTGGTATGAAAATAAAATCAAATATATCATTAACTTATAGAGCATATATAAAGTTATCTAAATGAAACTGTAAATTAATAAAATTATTATCAAAAAAAAAATACTTTTTTCTTCCTTTTAACTTTTGTTTATTTTGTATTTTTTTTTTTTTTCATCTTTTGTCAAATTTTCACTCATTTAAGACGAAGATGAAGTTGACCGTAGCACAACAGCCAATCAAAAGTCTCCACCACATCACACGAATGGAAATAGCGCAGTAGATTGTAATGGCCCACGAAATACCAGTCCGTCATTAATCAATGGTAACAGCTTAGATGTTAATACGAATGGCAGAATCGGTGCGATCCGTCATCGTCAAGAGCACTCTCATTCACATTTATATAGACCTTATGAATTAAGAACCAATGGAGATCGGATTGATAATGACGAATTGAATGGTTGTGAAATCGGTTCATTTGACTATAGGGTCAGAAGTGGTGCACTTTTGACTACGCAAGGTAAAGTATTACAACTTGCATTTATTGTGTAAATGACGCGTAATAACGCGTGAACCATATTCTTCTTTCTATTAGATCGTCCCCTTCGAGAACTCAAAGTTCCGTTCGAGATCTTCTCCGAAAACTTCAATCGGTACCACGAGGGTAAGTGACGTAATGGACAATTGTGATAATAAATGATTAATGTTATGATAAAGGTTGTGATTACAGTGATGATACTTATTTCTTGATTTTATTCAGAACAAGAGTCAACGTTGAAGGAACTAAAATCAACGGAACAAAAATTCCTCCAGATGAATACAGTGCTTGAAGAAGAAGTAGATAAGCTCAGGGATGAAACTGACGGATTAAAAAGTGAATATAAAGAGATTAGCGAGGAAAATAGGAAGATTCGAGAACAAATTGAAGAGATGCATGCCCTCTTTATCCCATATTTTAATAATTTATTGACTGGTAATGAGGAAGATGACGATGAAGAGGACCTTGAAAACATGCATCTCGACAAAATTATCGTCAGCGATGAAATCGGAGAAAAAAAGGAGAATGAGGGAGAACTGAATGATGTCAATATTGGTCCCTTCATCATTGACATGGCTCGTCGATTTGCTCCTCAACAACAATAAAGGATAATACCCTTAATATCCGCTGCGTACCTTTGTCAGCTATATAGTGTGTGAGGAGTAAATTAATAAGGCAAATTTTCGAGGCTAATTTTTTGGTTTCGAAAAATTTAATCAAACACATTATAATGACAATTTTTGTGATTTAGCATCAAAAAAAAAAAAAAAAAAAATTAGTATTGAAAAAGTAATTTGAGTAGACAATTTTTTATATATATACACTATATGTAGCATTTAAACTTAATAATGTAAAAAAAAAATTTATTCGAGTATAAAGCATAATTTTCATTTACTTATTTTTGTTGCTTTTTCTTTGTGAATATCATTTAACGGCTGAATGTTTAGCTATTATCCTAGTTTTACTTTTATCTTTTTTTGTACAGAATAGAACGTATAGAAAATTCAACAAATTCATCATTTCTTTACACAAAACCTTTAATTTGTAATATCATTATAATAAAAAAGCAGTAATGGGAAATTCATTGTGACGTAACGCGTTCTACAATAATTTTCACGTGACTTGACACGTTTTCGCGGGTAAGGCGAGACTCCGAGGAAAAAATTTTTTTAAAGTTTTATTTTTATAACACCCCAAAAATACATAAATTTTTTTTGTATAGAAATTTTTACAATTTATATCTTAAAATAAAATACAATCAAAAATAAAAGAAAAATAATCCCCCTTGATAAATTTTATATTCTATTTTTACCAAATAGAACACTTATCAACTGGATTCATTTTTGATCCTACTTTACACTTAAATGTTTCAGAAAAATGATTGGAATTTGTTAATACACCGTTAACTCTCCAGATTGCTGGTGAATGAGGGTCAACTCGAACCTTTTTGTTATAGGAAAGAAAGTTAATGTCGGTTAAAAAATTAAAAAGATTTCTTTTAATTCTTTTATAAAATAACCCTTACCCTTTCTACAGCAGTCTCTGGTCTTATTTTTGAACACCATACACGCCCAAATGATATATAAAATAGTTGTTCGCGTGTAAAATTTTGTAATCCAGGTAATAATTGATTATTATAAAGCTTTTCATTTTTATCACTTTCAAATCGGGTAAGCCATGCATGAAAAGCTTCTTTAAGACTTAAAAATTTTTTTTTTTTAGTTAGCATAATGCTACCTTTTTTTTTTTAAAAAAAAAAAAATAATAATAAATAATAATAATAATAATAATTACCCCCCATTATCAGCAAGATTTTCACCGAGAGTTAAAACACCATTTAAGTTCACAGGATTGCCTTTTGGATCATCAATTGTGTAATTACCGTATTGATACACGAAACATTTTGCCTTTTCCTCGAATGCTTCAATTGTAGTATTAGACCACCACTGTTGAAAATTCAAATTAGAATTCATTTTTTTTTACGTGTAAATTCAAAAAGATAAAAAATCTTTATTCGTACCTGGATTAATTTACCATTCGCGTCATATTGTCTTCCATTATTATCAAATGCATGCTTTAATATTCATAAATTCAAGTTAGTTTTTATATTACTGAGAATACAAGCATAGATTCTAATACAAACCGTGAGCTCATGTCCGACAACCATACCAATTGCTCCATAATTTACATATTCTGGAGCTCTGGCACTAAAAAATGGCGATTGAAGTATTACTATAAATTACCAATAACATAAATTAATTAAATTTTAATTTTCTTTTAAAAAAATAATAAGCAAAACCTTTTTAAATTGGATAATTACCAGCCGGAAATACGATTTCATTAGCCGTAGGATTCTAAAAAATTTTACGGTTATAATACTTTCCTATTATGAATAAACACATTTTAAAAAACTTTCGTACTTACATAGTATGCGTTAACTGTTTGAGGAGTCATATACCATTGACCGAGATCCACGGGTTTACCAACTTTCTTCCATTTATTTTCTGAAGCCCACACATGAGCACTTAAAATATTACCGAAATATCTATCTTTCTCTATATTAATCTTTTCATAATATTCAGCAAGAGACTGTGGTGACATAGTATCAGGGGATTTAGAGGGAAATCCAATTTTTTGAATAATACGATTAACCTTTTCAATTGCCTTTTCACGCGTTTCTTTGTCAAGCCAATCAAGTCGTGGTAATTGTTTAATAAATGCATCTTTAAGAGAAATTATTATTTGATCGGCTAGTTCTTTACTTTTACCTAAATCAAAAAAAAAAAAAAATTAGAAATGAAAAACTATTTGCATCAATTGGATTTCAATATTATTTTTTTATTGGAGTCGCTTAGTTTCAAAGAAATGCATAAGCATATATTCAGGACAATTGTTCGTTTTGTTCGCGAGAGAACTCACTAAAAAAGAGCGGTGAAACTACTGAAAAGATATAATATAATAAGTTTATAAATCATACCTCCAAATGCTCTCAACACAAAATATCTGCCAGCCATAAGACCTAAAGTATTATCGACAGATTTAAGACATTCTTCCCATCTTTTAGGTTTAATTGATTCATCAGTTCCTCTGAGTTTTGCCCTCAATTTTCTTAGTGGCACTCTAAAATTTTCACTTAAAGAATCAGCATAAGTATAAATTGCTTGCCAAATGAAATAAAGTTGTAAAGTTGGAGTTGGAGTTTTCTCGACAAGGTTTGAAAGATCTTTAAAATATTTGTTAGAAGTTAAAATGATTTTAGCCGGAAAAACAGATGTAGGAGGTAATAATGCACTTATATAACGAGTCCAAATGAAAGAAGGACTAAGGTTTTCAAGAGAAACTACAGTTTGATTATTATAAGTAGCTTCAGGATCAGAAAATTCTTCGCTAAATTCCAAAAGAAAAAAAAAAGAAAAAATTAATATGGTAATAAATTAATAAATAAGTTAATGATGATCGATCGACTTACGCGGATAAAGAGATTTTGGCCAATTCTATTTCAAAATCTATAATTTTCTTAGCATTTTTTTCCCATTCTTTATATAAGAACCTTTCTGCGCTATATTCTAATATGTCTTTCACTAAGTCATCTGATTCAGTGAAATTATGATTGAAATGGTGAGCTACATTACTGCTATAATTTAGGGCCAAATTTAATAATTCGATCATAGCTTCTTTATATGATAACAATATCTCTTCCTCCTCGTAATATTCCTTTGAAGGTAAACCAAGGCCAGACTGAGATAAGTATAAAACATTATTTTTCGGATCTTTTGCATCTGCTTCTACGAAAAATTCAAACAACGGTTTTATTCCAAAGATAGAAAGACGTGACAATGTATTTGTTAAATTAAGAGGATCGTGAGAATGAGCTCCTTGACTTTCTATTTCATCCAGATGTCCAAAATTGCTCAATAAAGAATATTTAGAGTCTACAGGAAAATCGTCAATAATACGATCTATGATTGGCAACAAAGGCCCTCCACCAAAATCATTAATTAAAGATTCGTTCATACAAGACTGATAGAGATTTTGAAGTTTATAAAAATTTTGTTTGTCTATTACTTCTGAAGGTGGTGGAAGATTCGGCTCAAATTTATGAGTTGATTCAAAATTATTTTCAAGAATTTCTTTCAATAATTTCTGTAGTTTAAAAATAATTTTTTTCCATTTTGATAAGTAGTAATAAAAAAAATAAAAATAAAAATAAAATAATTATTTACCTGATTGTCTTCATATAAACTATCAAAGTAACTATACTGGCCTTTATCCTCGGGTATCAAATTATTTTGTACCCAACCACCACCTTAAAAAGATAGATTTAGGCTGAACTGTAAATAACTTAAATATTCGATAAGCATAAGATAATTCTAACTTACAACTATATTGAAAGAAATCATCACAAGGATCGGCAGTTGGATCCATATCACTAATAATCTGAGCCGCTATAATTACACAATCTGGAGTAAGACAAGGTTCCTGTAAACGCGTAAGTTATACTATGTTAGACATATTTTACACTTATCTATATTTGATATTGTTTTGATAACGCGTTCACCTTTATGGTATCATTTGGTGGAGGTATAATAGGCGGCGGTATTTCTGGTTGTGGGTGTTTATTGGTCCTTCCTCTGGCATATAAGCCAGCGAAAACGCTCATAAGTATTAATAACAAAACACACATGAAAGCCAGTAAGGTTTCGAGGTGAGAAAATTTTCCATGAAGTAACGGAAAGAAGTTTGTATGGTCACGCGGAGCTTCGCGAGTACGAGGACCGCGTTCGACTACACCGTTACCTCCATCAAGAGTTTCTTCTTCGTCAAGATCATTAGGTGTAAGCAAAGGAGCGTTCTCCAATGACGTGGAAGGTGCGCGACTCATTGTCTTATTAAATAATTGTTACGATAAACCTGGACTTATGTAAAATTACTTTCCCGTTAAGATGAGTTAGATCTATAAAAACCGTCTAAAAGAGAGATTTGTTTTTATGGTTTGTTTCGCATGCAATAATTTATCATTTTTGAATGAATCGTTACACAGATATTAGTTCACATTTTTATTTATCCCTCTCTATAATTAGAAAGAAATTTTTTTTTTTGCATTGTAATAATTCAGGTAGTGGGCAGATATATTTGTTCAACAAAAATTACTGATCATTTGTCAGCGGCTTAATACATTTACATCTAAAGAGTTACTAAAATTATATTTCCTTTTTCGGAAAATTGAAATAAGAATCTAAATTAAAAAATGAGTGATTAATAAATTTGAAATCTTATTACTACTTTTTATCTTTTATACTTTTTACACATTTATGTATATAATAAAAATCTTATTTAATTTATAAAAATTTTTATTTTCTTATATAAATTCTTTTAATTTATTATAATATGTATAATAAATTAAATACTAAAAGGAATAAAAAAGAAATAATATATATAATTATGAAGTAAATAATTAAAAAATAATAATTAATATTATTTTATAATACAGTGAAACCTTCATAAGTGCACCCTCTATAA